GCAGATATTAATGATCAATTGTAATAATATAGATAACATTGATTCATTATTTAGAGAGTGAAAATAATGAATAGAAAACAATCTTCCCATTTGTAATATTTTTGATTCATAGACCTATCACAAACATCCATTTGGTGAATGTGTGAAGACTTTATTGAATTAATGAATAACATTTTTTATTGAGCTCTTTAATGTAACAGACACTGTGGTAGAGACTGAAGAACAGCAGTTAACAAAATCCATGTCCCCATAAGCAAACGAATCTAGGTGCTAGTCGTATCAAAGATGGCATCAGAGTACAGGGAAAATCCCATTCTTTGACCCTTCCCACTCCCCGCCTTTCATAAAAGTAATACATTTATTATATGTATAAGTGAGTTAAAGGAAAATACAAGGGCCCCTGGAAGGGAACAAGAAGCTACAAAAGGGTGGCATGTACTTTTTATTAAGTTCTTTCAATGTAACAGACACCATTGTAGAGACTGGAGATAAAACAGATTCAACTGACTTTGCCTTTGAGAATGAGGAGGGTTGAGAGTGCCTCCTTTAACTCTGTCCTCAGCTTTTTCTTTTTGAGGCTATCAATTAACAAGCACAGAGCTTCATCTTTTGTTCAGTGTGCTGCTTTCAGGGATGGTTCTTTGTGAAGTGTTACCTGTTGGGTGTGAAACTGCTATATCACTCCCTACTTCACCCACTCAATGAGTTTTGGGTTGTCACAAAGTTCAGGAAGAAGTGTTAGTTAACCTGAGAAGCTGCAGTAGAGTGTAATGGTTAAGACAGTTTGGAAGCTGACTCTTTGGATTTGTATCTTGAACACTTACTAGTTGTGTGACCTAAGGGAAACTACAAAAACTCTCTGTGCCTTAGTTTGCTCTTCTGTAACATGAAAAAAATAAGACCAATCTCATAGAGTAGTTATGATAGGTAAAGTAGTAAAATATGTCCAACCCTTTGCTGTATGCAAACTTTTATAACTATTTTAATAAGTCGCAATTTCTGTTCTGTAGTCAAAATCAAATAAATTCAGTCCTATTCAGTAAATGCAACCCAATCCAGTAATTTTTTTTTTTTAAGTTACCTCTGGCTTAAAAGCCTGGTTATGATAAGTAGTTTATCAACTCCAAGTGTTATTGTTTTCAGTTAGGCTCCAGTTTGAATGCCATAGCTTGGGTAGGAAATTGCCTCATGGCCCTCTCTCCCTAGCCCTCCCTCTGCACCTGCTTATACTTTCACTGGGCTCAAGATTGCCTGTGAGCCTGTTGCTGAGAGAGGTGTGTGGGTAAAGGGAGTTCACTTCAGTACCTAGGGCTTGTCTGTGAGATCTGGAGGGTTTCTGGTTACTCCATAATGTTGGTCTTTTCAACTGGTTTCACCAGTGTTTGGGTTCTGTATATATTGTGTGGCATATTTAATGGGGACTGTCCAAGGACAGTTGGGCACCTAGTATGGCTCTCCAGTTCACACCATGGTGCAGAACATCATCTATGAGAAGCTGCTGGACTCCTTGGTGCCAAGACCATCATGTGTGCCTGCCAAATGTAGCCCTTTGAGTGTACTGACCATTGAGCCCAATGGCTCAATCACTTATAAAGAATATGAAGATATGATAGCCACTAAGTGCAGCCATCATTAACATATGGCCGTCTAAACTAAAACTTTGAGCCTCTCTGGCAAAGTAAATGCCCTGTACCTATCTGTGCCTCAGGAGAAAGCTTCATGTGTCAAGTCTCTAAATGTAATGCAGTGTGTCTTATATAAGGAGGAACCTGTGTAGATTAGCACATTCTGTGGCATCTATCAGTATAAAGAGATAACATCTGCCTTTTTTATTTCAATGTAAATGAATATAATTATTTCGGAGAGCTCGAAGTCCCTGGCAGCAGGTATCCTACAGGGTGCAATAACTTCGCCCACCTTATGTGGAGAACTTTTGCCTCATCCAGCTTCTATGGGGCTGAAATCACAAATTGCTACCTTCTGTGACCTGCTGGGCCCATGGAGGTCCTAGTCATGCCCATCCAGGCTACACAGGAGTAAATGGTAGGAACAAAGAGGGAAACCTTTGCCGTCTGAAGAAAGTATCTGCTTTTTTCACCAGGCTCTGCTGGCTCCAGAGAGTAGATGTATGGGCCCTGTTGCTCTGTAAACTCGAAATGAGAAGTCGGGGCCCGCCTCTGTGTTCCTAAGTACCACCAAACCTCGAGGGAATGGTGTCTAATATCATCTCATCTCCTATCCTCTGGAGTGGGGGCAGGGAAAGGACCAATGTGCAGCACTCCTAGGATTCTGTCTTCTAATATCCCAAACCTCTATTCTTTATCTTTCTTGGTTCCTTTTATGTCTTTTTGATGGCAAAATATGCCAACTCAGTTCTATTGCATTTGTCCCCTGAGGCAGACTTAATTTGCAGGATTCCCTTTGTACCAGGTAGTTTGGCATTTGGCGTCTTTGTTCTTAGCTTGATAGTAGTAGTCCAAACACCTTCATTTGTTTTTGGTTGATGGGGAGGGGCCAGTTGGTGGTCAGGGAAGCTGGAAAAGGCTTTTTTAAGTTGATATTTTACATGGTCATATTACACTCTTAAATCACGGTGCATCCCAAACTTGGTAAACACACTATAATTGCAAGCAACTATTAGCAATTATATTGAAAATTTAGAACATAAAGTTTCTGGCCTAAGATGCCAACAGATTCAAAGTCTTCAGGGACTCCAAATCTTTCATGAACTGTGAGCTTCACATGGTAGTATATATTACAGAGACAGTAATATCCTTGTCTATTACATACCAATAGGGTTGCCACATTTAGAAAACAAAAATATGGAACATCCAGTTAAATTTAAATTTCAGTCACTTATAAAGAATATGAAGATATGATAGCCACTACAACAAATATTTTTTAAAGTATAGATATATCCCATTTAGATAAATAATATACTATTTTTTTTAGTATAAGTATGTCCTAATTGTTATAAGGATGTCTTGCATTTTTAACTGATATCCCTATGTGTCAGGCATTTGCCCTTCTCCATGGATAGTTTGAAATAGATCCTTTTTTTTCCAAATATGAAGGCTGCTTTCAGTTACCACATTGTACCAATGCTATGTCTATTCAAGGGTAAGTAACTACCTAAAAAAAAAAAAAAGGTAAGAGTTGAGTATGAAGGAGGATGTGGCCATTTATTTACATTAGTCCTCTTATACCAGTTCATAAAAACAAAGTGATTGCTTTTCAATAAAAGTGGGATGAAATAGGAATAAAGTATCTGTGTTTTCATGTTTAGATCTCTCTGGTCCCAGAGAGTGTTAATGTCTTGAAGGCTTACAACAAGCTCTGCTTACTTAGGAAATATACGAAATATGTAACCCTTTGGAAGACTTCTAATTAAACCGTTGGAGCTTTGATGCCAGACTTTGAGATTAGTATTACATCTTTTAAGAAGATTCAATTTCATGTGGCACTAGCATGGGAAAACTGTGCTGGTCTTTACAGACAGTTATTGAATTTAGAAAATATTTATTTAAAATTTCAAATTATTACCACATAAAAAGCTGAATTTAGTGCATCATTCTCAACGTTAAAAATGTGCTGTTAAGAGGATTGCTATCTCCTAAACTTTTCTGTTAACAGTGACCATCATTAATATCTGTTTCTGGTAAGAGATTAGTAATTATATGTTACTTGTGGAAGCTGCTGAATCTTTAAAAGATGTCGAAAATGGTTTCAAATAAAAAATATTTGATGAAAGTTTGAGGGACAGAACCAACGTATTTTGAGTGTCTATTATATGCCAGGGACTCTGTACTTCACATATATTTCTAATCTAAGCAACAACTTAATGGGAGGGTGAATGGAGGTAAGTAATTTTGCTATCATCATAAAATTGTCTGATTCTGAAAGCACTTTATCTAACTTTCTTTTGAATTTTCCTTACAGCCCTTACCTGCAGTTATTTTGTTCTTCAGAAGGACTCTCAGCAAAAATCTCACACTATTAAACTTACTTCTAACGAATAATATAAGTGGTAATTTCATACATATTTAACATTTTTTATTTCTCATCTTGGAATTATAAGTTCCCAATATTATTTCCAAAGTACATTTTTTAATAAAATTATGCAGATTTATTTGTGGAAATCCATCTAACATCATATACACTGCATATTTAATTTTATGCTTAAAATTTAAAGAATATTGGAATTTGAAGAGTCCAACCTCTCCCACTCAGTGAAAGTATTACATGGACAACATCCTTACTCCTGTTTGAATATTTTAGTGGTATGAGGTTCATGAGTTTTCAAGGCAGTTTATTCCATTAATATTGAATAGCAGGTAGCAGTTTGAAATGAAATCTGTCTATTGTGGTGGTATTTGCATTCCAGAAACATTTACTTATAGGTCTCGGTTCTGCTCTCTGGAGCCACATGAATAAATTTAATCCCTCCTCATACCCAATCAAGGTGCTATATTGGTAAACTGTCTAACTTTTCAGTACTTTTATAGCCTGGAAATCTTACAATTTGACCTTTAAACAGCAGTTGGTATTAGAAATGGTTTTGAATCATATACACACACATACTAAAGAAAACCATACAAAAATAGGGATGTATTACAAGGACATTTAAGATATAAATATATATTTCTTTACCCATCCACATATACACATGTAGATATTCTAACATATTATTTATGTTTACGTATTTTCTATTAAATAGGAACATAAACTAGAAAGCAAGTACTTCTATTCAGTTATCTCTTTACTGCATTCCCCTCTGATGCAGGGAGTAAGGCTAAGCAATCTTAGTCATGGTCCTGTGCTGAGTTTTAAGTACATTGCATCTGTTAAATGGCATTGGACTATTTTTTCCCTTCAGAATTAATCTGACCCTATGTTCCAGGGTTTCCTCTGTAAAACAAAGTACATCTGGTATGGTATCACACAATTATAAATTTGTCTGTTTTTATAATCATGTTTTTGATCTCTCTCCCCGACCTCAGATCATTTTCCGTAAGATTAGTGATGTGAAGAAAGAGGAGGAGGAGCGCCTCAGGCAGAAGAACGAGGTCACCCTCAGCATCCCCGTGGACCACCCAGTCAGAAAGCTCTTCCAGAAGTTCAAGCAGCAGAAGGAGCTGCGGAATCAGGGGTCCACACAGAGCGACCCCGAGCGGAACCAGCTTCAGGTGGAGAGCCGCTCCTTACAGAACGGAGCTTCCATTACCGGTACCAGTGTGGTCACCGTGTCACAGATCACACCCATTCAGACATCTCTGGCTTACGTGAAAACCAGTGAGTCTCTCAAGCAAAACAACCGCGATGCCATGGAACTCAAGCCCAATGGCAGTGCTGACCCCAAATGTCTCAAAGTCAACAGCCCGATAAGAATGAAGAACGGAAATGGGAAAGGGTGGCTGCGACTCAAGAATAACATGGGAGCCCATGAGGAGAAAAAAGAAGACTGGAATAATGTCACTAAAGCTGAGTCCATGGGGCTATTGTCAGAGGACACCAAGGGCAGCGACTCAGAGAACAGTGTGACCAAAAACCCATTAAGGAAGACTGATTCTTGCGACAGTGGAATTACAAAAAGTGACCTTCGTTTGGATAAGGCTGGTGAGGCACGAAGCCCTCTAGAGCACAGCCCCATTCAGGCTGATGCCAAGCATCCCTTTTATCCCATCCCGGAGCAGGCCTTACAGACCACACTGCAGGAAGTAAAGCACGAACTCAAAGAAGACATTCAGCTGCTAAGCTGCAGAATGACTGCCCTGGAGAAGCAGGTGGCAGAAATTTTAAAAATACTCTCAGAGAAAAGTGTGCCCCAGACCTCTTCTCCCAAACCCCAGATGCCTCTCCAAGTACCTCCCCAAATACCATGTCAGGATATTTTTAGTGTTTCAAGGCCTGAATCACCTGAATCTGACAAAGATGAAATCCACTTTTAATATATATATACACATATATATTTGTTAATATATTAAAAACAGTATATACATCTATATACATAAGTGTGTATATACAGTATATACATATATATATTTTCACTTTCAATATGATGAACACAATATGGATTTTGATATGTAAATATTGCATGTCCAGCTGGATTCTGGCCTGCCAAAGATGATTATTAAGCATAGATATTGCTTGTATATTATGCAGTTGACTGCATGCACACTTTACTTTTATTTATTATCTCTATTCTGTAATTTTTTTAAAAAGTATGATTTTTGTTAATCAAGGCAATGTAATATTTGAAGAATCAGGGTCCAACCTGCCAATGTTGCCATGACAAATTTGATCTCAGGCTGAGTAGATCGAGCTGTCATTTCCTCACTGTTCTATTAAGTTAAAATTATAGATTAATGCCAAGGAAGAGTTCAACCTTGTAAACTGTTCATACCATTTTATGATCTCTTTCCATAGGATATTTTTCCATAGCATTAGGTTAATTTTCCCCAGCAGGCAGTGTTTTCTCCATTTAAATGTTTGGTTGCCTAAGTCAGATAGCAGTGTGGGAAATTGAAAACTTACTGCTATGAGTTTTGTGCATGAATTGCATTTTTGCTCAACTATACCTCTTCTTTTTCAACATTATACTTAGATAATGATCATTAACTCCTATGTAAGGAAATTCCTATGCCCTCCATCTTGGAGAACAGCTGCCATCTTATAAGCTGATTTTATCAACTCTATAAGTACTGAACCATTAATATAGTGTATATTATTATAGAAATACTACACCACAGGGTAAAAGGGCCTTTTAACAGTTCATGTTAGACGTGCTGATTTTCCAAAGGTGATGAATGTTCTAAATTCGTGTTTCTAAAACTTGTTCAGGGGTGAAGTTAAAAGGCTCTTAGCAAAGAAACAAACAAAAAATATTTAATCATATCAAAAATTTAACTATAATGATATAAAACAAACAAAGAATGTAAACAGACAAGTTTTTGTAGCATATCTGTAATGTAGAAAGAATGAAACATAGGTATGGAATTGTTCACACATGATTCTTACTGTGTACTGATAACACATGAAATATGGTTAAAAACAACTAAGAAGTAGATGTTAAGTTGCTCAACTCAGATAACTGCTTTTCTATAATTTTATTCTGGTTACAATTTTCTAAAGCTTTTTTGCACATAGTTCTACTGCTGGACTTCTGCTGAGTTAGTACAATTGACTACTGTGGCTCAGGCAGATCCACTTACGAAAGGGGGGGTACTAGAGACTGAACTTCAGAGTCTTTGGGTCATAAATCCTCTTAGAAAGTGCCTATTATCAACTTAAAAAAAGTCACAAAGAGTTGTGTATAGCTAGTCCCTTAAATGATATATATTGAGAATAAAATACATGTTCATTTGTGAGAACCCAGAATAATTTATTTCTTTTGACTAAAGTATATTTTTAAAAATCGATTCAAGAGACATACTTTTAAACTGGTGCACACATGACATTTAACAGTGGGAGCAGGGCAGTTAATGTTTGCATCAAGTTGAAAATACATACTAGTAATTTGTACTTTATCAGACCATCCGTACACATAGGTTAACAGCATATACCAAGGTGACAACAAAATCAAAGGAGATATTTTGATCTATTGTACCCATTTTTATGAACTTTTCTGTCTCCCGGCATCCCCAAACAAAACCACCAGAACCGAAAGATAAGTTATCACAATAAGATGAGAATTGCAAAACAAAGTAATTTATAAAAACAGTTAATATTTTAGAATTTCTATTAGAACATCTTCACATGCCCACAAGATGTGCCTCTTTAATCCAGGAGTCTCAGAACAGAAGTTACGTGCCATGGGTTCCATTTTCCTTCCTTTGTGCCCATAACTTCCATTACCCATAATGGAAGTTTTCAGGGGAGCATGTCTCCATGCTATGCTACAATACCTACCTACCATAGACAGCCCCCCCGCTCCCGCCCGCCAAAAAAAAAAAAGATGAGGTGATCATGTGGAAGGTAACAGCTTTGAAATTGAGACTGTTGCTTTCATGGTGAGGATGGTACCTTTCTCTTGACCTCTGACATTTATTGAATTTCAGGGTATTTTTCTATTTAACCATGTGTGAGACAAGCTTGGCTAAGCTTTTTAAAAAAGTGAATGAGTGGTAAAAATAATCTGAGTACAGAAATGGTCAATTTAATTTTAGCCACGTGCTTCAAAAATAACAGTTGATGTAAAGCTATAAGAGAATAACTGTGAAACAGCCAGACAGTTTGAAGCTGCAATCCACACCTTTGCATATAAGTAGTGCATATATATATATATGTACTGTGTTCTGACTCAGAATTTCACCAAATTGACCTATAATATTATTATTTATATGTATAGGAAAGAAACATGGTTTTGAGTTACCCCAAGTTGTCATGAAGGAGGGAAAAGTAGCAATCACTTATTTATGGTATAGTTATCACAGTATTCTTTTCCTGCCACCTCTGTTTCTGTGTGCATGACATGATGAGAAGCTGAATGCACTCTGCTTTTCAGTAATGCATGTATTCAGCAAATACTGTATATAGAATAGTCTTTTAGGTTCCCAGATTCCACAGTTTTTACCAGTGGAACTTACTCAGATTTAAATGAAGGGTGAGCACTTGCTTTAATATGTGCAGTAATGATACAATCATGCTCTGTGTTGGCTCAGCCAGCATAAACAGTAGATTCTCTTTGGGGGGGACCAGATGACTGCATGTTTTATTCTTACACTGTATAGATGCTCTTGGTGCATCCAAAATAAAAATTTTACTATTATATTTCTGAACAATGTACTAATAGGAGCAAATAGATATGTATTTAAAATCCAAAAATTTTCCAAAGCAACTTACATACCTTCAGTATTTTTCTATGATAATATCAGATGCTGTGCCCTGGACAGGTGGTTGTAACATAATAGCAAAAGTCAAACAAAAGTGGAAATGTGAGCTGTGCATCATAATGGCAAGTTTTATCAGTCTGCTTTAGGATATTATAGCACTAAAGGTAATCTAGTAGATAGAGGAACTAATGATGAGAGGCAAATAGGTACACAAAAGGCACATGAAAATACCAAAGTCACTAGTGTCCCACATTGATATAAATAGTATGTAGAATAGTTCAGACACAGACATTGAATAGAGATACAGACTTTATTGTTAAAATGGTAAGATTTTATTATTGATCCTGGTTTCATCACACCATTAAATATAGAAATACAAATGTCCAAAATATTCAGTTAAAAAATCTGTATAGACCAGAGCAAGAGAATTAGAAAATTTAGAGTTTTAAATTGCTCCTAAGAACACGTATGTGCTCCTGGAGTACCCAGCTCTTTAACGGGAATATTAATGGTGACCACTAACGAACGTGCCGTATTGAAAAGTAATCTTATTGGAGCCCAAATGAAATCACAGCTTCCCTTAAATTTAAAGAGATTTTGTTTACTTCTGAGATCTGGCCCATTTGTTGTTCTATTTTAAATAATTAAATTCTTTCTTTTAGAAACATTTTTTTTTAAATTAGTCCTCAGAGCAATGACTGTTTTTGAAGTGTGCACTGGCTGGTACTGGTGAAATTATTTGTCATATTCCTAATGAATTCTACTATCTTGTATAATTTTTATCTTTTAAACTATTTTATCTGTCTCTTTTCCAAAATTTTATGTAGGTAATGAGAAAATTTGTCTAGAATGTACATACATACATGGATAACTTTAATTATGAATATTTTGTAATTATGTGAATGTTGTGTTTTAATACTTTGTTACGAATAAGAATATTTCTCTTGTGGTCTTAAAGGAAAGGGGCAGAAGGAAAAACAGTCTTTTGGAAAACACCCTCACATGAATATCTGAGCTCCACCTCAGATTCTAAATCTTTGTCACAATCGCAGTGTAACTTTGGGCAGGTTAACTGCTTTTTTGTGTGTTTGGAGCTTTAATTTCCTCACTAATAAATGATAAAATAAAGAATGGCTCCCTTCTTATATCAAGATGATGTTAGGTCAGTGGAAAATTGTCATCAGATGAAAATTACATTAAGACAAATTATCATTTTTTCCTTCCTTCCTTCCTTCCTTCCTTCCTTCCTTCCTTCCTTCCTTCCTTCCTTCCTTCC